GAGAGAGAGAGAGAGAGAGAGAGAGAGAGAGAGAGAGAGAGAGAGAGAGAGAGAGAGAGAGACACAAACACAAAGAGAGTTCTATCGATAGGATGAGCAACGCACTGGCCAACACCAGAGTCTCCAACCACGCGCCGTTCTTGATAGCAACCTGTAACGATTGGTTCAACCTTGTTGCGGAAAAGAGAATGGAAACTACCCTTCGGTCATTGTACCTGTATTTGACGCATCTTTCAGTCCAAATACAGCTAGAATGACCAGACGTTGTATTCGGGGGAAGTGGGTGGGCTGGGCATGAGTGAGGCTGTGGGTCCACGCCGTTTCATATTTGAATTTCAAGGACCTGTGGCCCCCACGCCGTTTCACAATATTTTGGACCACAACCACGTACCGGTTCCCAGGAAAATGCCACGGGCAAATACCGGTCCTGCATATGCTTCAAGTGCCTCCCCCCCCCCCTAAATGCCACTGCCTTTCATTTTACCAGCCTTTGAACGACCAGTGGGCCCGAATGCAATGTCTCAGGGGGGGAAAACGCAACCCTGACGGGCTGCGAACTGACGGATGTCACGGATGGCCACACGTGATCGAAAACGGAGCACAAGCATAAATAGGACGTAGTGGGATGAGGCCCCAAAGGGAGAAGGAATGGAGTTCAGGGGACGTCCTTCCTTCTGCAAACGGGGTTAGGCCGTCATATTATCTTGTATCTGGCGGGATTTGGACTTTCACGCAAAATTCGTAGCCCGTGTGACCCAAAAAATAACCTACAATTTACGATTTAATGAAAATGCTTGCTACCATCTTCCCCCGAACATAACGCACCCTGATCATGAATGTATAGAAGCTATCTTTACTGTCCGGTACAGGCAACATGAGGGTGCGTTATGTTCGGGGGAAGTCGGTAGTGTGAGTATGCCCAGAGGGAGAAGGAATGAAGTTACAGCGGACGTCATTCCTTCCTTCTGCAAATGGGGTTAGGCCGTCATACGTCATATTATGTTGTATCTGGCGGTATTTGGACTCTTGATCTGGGGCCCAAGTCCCACATGGCCGGTACTTTTGATCGATTGTGGTCTAAACTATTGACCCACCTGCCCGGTACTTCGACGACGACGATCTACATTTCGGCAAAAAAATGAGCGGCAGATGGGGTACGTCAAAACGCGGGGTGAAGGTCCGACTGGTGGGCAGCGGCGAGTCCGAGAAATGATCCGAGAAAGGACATCATCCCTGGAGACTGGACAAAAGAGATGGGGGCCCAAGGGAAAGGGGGTAAGAGTACCAGGGTACCAGCAGGGGGGCGAGGTGGGGTCGGGCGGGCTCGCGCAGGGAACGCACGCGCACGGCACACGGGTGCACTCTGACGGGCACGAGGATGAGGGAGAGCGCCGGCACGAGGGCCGGTGGAGAGCGCGGGCACTCTGGGAGGGAGAACGAACGAACGAACGAACAGGCGCGCGACCCAAAAAAAAAGAGCCGCGCTGGAGGTAGTCTTCTCGCCTCCGCCGTTTTGTAACAACCAGACGGACGGACGAAGGGGCCGAGGCGTGGAGCAGGGGAGGGAGAGGAGGTACTACGGCGAAGGAGGCTGGCTGCCAGGAGGAGAGGAAGTGCGAAGAGCACAGGTGGGAGTGCGCGCCAGGAGGGCACTTCCACTCGACGACCACTTCACCATTTTCGTTCTGCGCTGCACTTTTCTCAGAGCAGTCACTCACGTTCCATTGTCGACGTCCCTGTGAGTGATCAATGGTTGGAGTCTGGCGCTGTCCGCACTGTTATGCGTTCTGCGGCTGAGATCTCGTGTGAAAAGAAAGCACGGTGCCAGCTGGGTCGGCTTCTTGTTCTCCTTAGTACATACACGTGGCTGCTTCTCAGTTATACTCTCTCTGGTCCTCTCTCCGTTCCTCCTCCTGCTGCTGCTGGCTTCTTTGGTCCGTCCGATGACAGATATCTGGGGGACAACTGATCTTGAGAACACTCAACAATCACCGGCGGTGTTTCCACTAAGGCTATGGCGAACGGCATTATCATCGGATGTGAAAACGACTTGGACGTGGGCTTTTCCGCACCGACCTCGTAAGTACGAGAAGAAGAGCTCCGCCGACGCCGATCTTTCTGTTTTGCAACACTTCCTTTTGTGACCGGCGGCGGGAGTCGCAACGGCTAGAAGAGGAGGAGTCAGCATGAACACGTGGCGGGCAGGAGAGTAACGTCGGTGTGGGAGGAAAAGGTATATAAGGACGTGGACAAGAAAGTAAATACGCGGGGACAGCGGGATATATTCGCAGGGGCGAGACGTCAAATACGCGTATGACAAGATACACAGCAGCACGAGAACTTGCCTGCTATCTCAGGGTTTATCGTTAATCTTCTCTCCTCTTGTTGGTTAAAACTACTATCAATCTTCTCTGCTGTTGTTGGTTAAAGTACCATCGTCCGATCAATCAAGAGGCGCGCAGAATCAGCAAAAACTGGAATACGGACTCTTCCCCCCTTCCCCTTCCCCTTCCCCCAACACACACGGGGAGAGAGAGAGAGAGAGAGAGAGAGAGAGAGAGAGAGAGAGAGAGAGAGAGAGAGAGATGGAGTGGCAGGCGCAAGAAGCTCCGCAGACGCCCGGGGAGAACGCGGTGACACTAGAGGGGCCGTTCATTCCTGGGGAGGAGGGAGTGAAAGAGGGGGTGAAGTTGGAATCCGCTTTCGACGAGGTAGCCGAGGGAGGCGGTGAAGATGGTGATGCAGACGGCGTCGCGATGGAGGTGACGTACGCCGCTGCGGATGTAGCTGATGCTGCTGATGGGGATTATGAAGAGGGTAATGCAAGAGAGGGGGAGGTAGATACTATGGACGAAGACGGAGCGACAGCAGCCCTCTCGGTCGGCGTGCCGCACTCAGCTGGTGCTTCTCCAGAGGAAGGCGGCGGGGCGCAAGGGCCTGAAGTGTGCGTTACTCAGCAAGAAGAGGATTTGAGCGAGCCTGTTGTAATAGTTAACCATGCGCAGGTGGTTGCATCTGAGATGATAGATAAGGAATCTGGGAACTTGATCGATGGTATAGATGGGGCTTCCGCCGCCGCCGGGGGCGCTGCTGGACAAGGTGGCGCTGCCTCTGGCGCAGCAACGTCCGCGCGGGCAGGTAACGGCAGCAGTGGGAATGGGAACAGGATAGCGGACGGGCCTTTGGCCCAAAGCGGCGGTGTCGTGGGGAAATCGGCGGGTGCTGGCGCGGGTGTCGGGGAGAAGGTGGCGGGGCGATTGGAAGGAGAGGAGGCATCAGGAACAGCAGCATCAGTCGGGACGACCCGAACAGGTGGGGGGGGGAGTAAGGGTACAGCTGCTGCTGGGGGAGCGGTAGCGGGAGGGGGGAAAACAGGATCAGGGCGCGGAAGAGGAGGAGGGGGCGCGGCTACTGCGGTGGCATCGACGTCTGGCACGACTGGCGGGACGGTGGGCGCCGGGAGGGGAAGAAAAGCGCAGCAGGGGGAAGGACAAGCGCAAGCGAAGACGCCTGCCAAGAGGATGAAGAAAGTGTCCGCTGGCCCAGCGGGGGAGGCAGATGCTGTAGTCGCCAGCGCGAAGGCGCCCAAGGCGGCTGCTGTCTCGCCATCGCCAGCGCAGCAACTGCACACGGGGGCTCCGCCGCCGCCGCCGCCGCCGCCAACAGGGTCGGCGGAGAAGGCCTCCCCCGCGCCCAGTCTCGCGATGGCCGCTCCGTCCGCGAAGCCCGCCGCCAAGCGCCCGGGTTCGAGTCCCATGTCCGTCACCTATGCCGTCCAATGCGGCCGCTGTCACAAGTGGCGGCGGGTCACTTCTGTTGAGGAGTACGAGAAGATCCGCGCCAGGGGTCCTACGGACAGCAGCTGGATGTGTGGAGAGGCTGCAGCATGGAAGAAAAATGGTGGGACTGCGGCAGCAGATGGTCGAGATTACTGCGCGGAGCCGTCTGAGCTTGAACCGGATGGAAGATTAACGTGGGCGCTAGACAAACCGCATATCCCGCGCACTCCGCCGGGATGGCGCAGGCGGGTTGCCGTTAGAGGAGGCTCCGCCAAAAAATTCGCTGACGTGTAAGTGCTACTGTATTTATCAGCTCTCTCTCTTTCTTTCCTGTCTCTTATACACATCTAGATGTGTATAAGAGACAGGTCGATCTATCGTTCGATCCATTGAACTCCCTCCTCCTACCAACTAGTACCCATCGCCTACCTGCCCGATTGCCCACCTACGTATTTATCAAAAACCACGATTCAGTGGGCCTCGCTTCACTATTCTCGATATGCACAAAAGACATCGCGGTGTATACTTGCATATTCTAGCGAAAGATTTACTCCCGCTTTGCACATTTCGAGAGAAGTGGAGTGAGGCCCATTAGGTGTGTGTTGGAGGGTATTCGTGAAAGAGAGAGGAACGAAAGAGAGAGGACCGAAGATTAAAAATTGAGGTGAAACAAGTGAGGGAGAGAGGTGAAGAGGCGGAGGAAAGAAACAAAGGAGGGTGGGCAAACGACCGAAAAGAGGGAAGAGAGAATGCACGATTGCACGGAACAAAAAGGGAATGGGCAAGAAACACAAAACAGTGGAGAGCGACAATGAAGAAGGACGAGGATAAGTAATGAAAAACAACAAGAAAGAGGTGTGACAGCGATTTGTAGAAGTCAAGAAGGGGAGAAGAGGAGAGTTCAGGAGCAGGGGAGGGAGGATATGGCGAGAAGAAAACGACAGAACAAGGAAGAAAATGCCAAGGACGAAGAGAGGGACAAAGGAAAAAGAAAGGCAGGAGAAGAAGACGGCAAGAGTAGCTCGCAGAAAGAAGAGAGAGAAAAAGAGAGAAAAATAGCAGGTGAGACAAAGGGGACAGAGTAAGGGGAAAAAGAAAGGATGAACAAGATGTCAGAGAGAGAAAAAGAAGGAAAAAACGAGGGAGAAAAAGAACGAGAGCAATCAGAGGAATTGAAAAATTCAGCCACTCTTCCTCCAATCTGATATAAAATCTTACTTGCTCTCCTTGCCGCTCCCTTTCCCCCCTCCTTCCCACTCCGTTGCCCCCTCGTTACCGCTCCCTTGCCCTCTCCTTACCACTCCCTTTCCCGTTGCTTACTGCTCCCTTCCCCCCTCCTTTCTTCCCTCCTCCTTACCGCTCCCTTACCCCCTCCTTACTGCTCCCTTGCCCGCTCCTTACCGCTCCCTTTCCCCTGCTTACTGTTTCCTTCCCCCCCCCTTCCTTCCCTCCTCGTTACCGCTCCCTTCCACCCTCCTTACCACTCTCTCTTAACGCTCCCTTCCCCCCTCCTTACGACTCCCTTCCACCCTCCTTACCACTCTCCCCACCCCCTCGGCCCTTCTTAATTTCCATACACCTTGCGCGAACAGATTGACAGATATATTGCTAACCTGCATGAAGCTCCTCCACGTGTACGAGAGTCGCCTACCACCTCCGGGTCTGGAAAGCTATTTAACTGTCGATCTGATATACTCGTCACATAGGTCTACACACCACCTACGGCAGAAGCAAAATACGGAATTATCCCCCGCAACAGGATCGCACATGACCGCATAATCTTCACATCCAACCATCCTACTACCGCATAAGCAGTCCATCCCGAAGCCATCCTGTTAATGACACGTAAGCACAGTCGCGTGCTTTGATTCTCTTCCCTTGAGGGATTGTAACGAGTCATTAACCTACTCGCTCATTGACGCCATCAGAAAATCACATGTCATTCTTCGATCCTTCCCTTTCGATCATATCAATCACGATGACGAAGGTAATTAATCACGAAGTTAATCAATCACGAAGTTAATCAATCACGAAGCTAATCAATCACGAAGTCAATCAATCACGAAGTCAATCAATCACGAAGTCAATCAATCACGATTTCCGGTTCATTCATCGTTATAGTAGAAAAGGCTATAGCCATACAGTCAAGACCAGAGGAAACATTGAAAACGCCGTGTAAGCAGAATGAGCAATAGCATACCCAACCAAAGATAGGAGTCGAACACGTCATCATCATCATCATCATCATCATCATCATTTTTGGCTGTCGTAACTTAGAGATGGTTGTGGTAACTTAGCGTTTGACTGTAAGAGGTCGTCAGATTCAAGGAAGGGGGGCATATGGCTCTATCCTTTTCATCCCCGGAATACAACGCACCCTCATCACGAGTGTATACAAGCTATATTTCCGGCCCGATACCGTCATCACGAGGGTGCATTTTATTCGGGGGGAAAGGCGGTAATAACCTGCGACGGAGATAGACGAAGATGAGTGAGATATGTCACACCTCCTTCTTCGTTGTCCTATCCTCCCTCTCGACCTATGGTTTACTTGCGGCGGTTCTCTCTGACGATATATATACATATATACAAATCCATATACATATATATATCTTCACAAACAGAACTGCCCGGTAAACCGTAAGCAGAGAGAGAGAAGAGCACAACAAACGACGGGCTGTGACAAACTGTTTCGTCGGAGTTTCACCGAGTCATCAGGAGGCTGAACCCTCAACAGTCTGGAGAATCCCCTCACTGATTACACTGTCAGTGGAGTAAGCGCTTTCTATGCACAGTGC